TGAAAAAAAAAGTACCTGGAATACTCTAGAGAATCAGTGGTAAAAATAACTCAAATAAAACATATTTAATTAGAGAAGCAGACTATAAAATTGCCATATATAAGTCAATAGCCTTAATTTACACAAATAATCAATTAGAAGATATACCATGGTAGAGACAACCTCATTAACAATAGAAAGAAGATAAAATACTTACGAATACATTTAACAAAGAAATGTGCAAAACTTATATGAGATTAGCTTTCAAACCCTCCTAATAGGCACACACGGAGACTCTAAGAAATGGAAAGACAGCCCTTATTTTTGATAGGAACATTCATCATAAAGATGTCAGTTCTCCCTAAATTAATTTTTAAATTTAATGCCATCTCAATAAAAATACCAACATACTTTATGGAATTAGACAAATTGGTCCTAAAGTTCATATGGAAAAATAAACATTCAAGAATCTCCAAGAAAACACTAAAAAAGGAAAGCTACGGTGAGGGGGCAACCCTACCATACATTAAAACACACTATAGAGCCTCTGTAATTAAAACAAGTGGAACTGGCTTATGAATAGGCACACCAGTGGAATAGAATAGAATATCCTGAGATAGGCCTAGATAAAAATGGAATAGAATTTGGAATATGATAAAGGTGGGATCTCAGTACACTGGGACAAAAGTGGACTTTAAAATAAATGGTGCTTGCACATTCTGCATGGAGCACTGGGTGTTATACGCAAACAATGAATCATGGAACACTACATCAGAAGCTAATGATGTAATGTATGGTGATTAACATAACATAATAATAAAAAAACAAAAAACAATCATGGAACACTACATCAAAAACTAATGTTGTATGGTGACTAACATAACATAATAAAAAAATGAATAAGGAATTAATGAATAAACTGGAAGCAAACCATTCAAAGAATAAATAAATAAATGGTGCTTGGACAACCGGAGAGCCATGTGGGGAAAAAAGATAAAATTAGATACTTCACACCATATAGAAGAACAAACTTCAAATAGATTAGCAATCTAAATGTAAAAAATAACATGTTGTACTAGAGGCAAATTCCTCTTTAACGTGGATATAGGGAAAAGTTTTTAAGCTATGGCTCAAAATCTGGATGCAATGGAAGAAAAGATTGAGAAATGTAACTACATAAAAAATTTAAAACCTTATTTCTGCATGGCTAAAAATAACTCCTCATAAATAAAATTTAATTGGCAAATTGGGAGAACATATTTGCAACATAAATAATAGACAAAAGGTCAAAATCCCCAATATATACGTATAACTCTTAAAAATTTAGGGGCAGAAGATGAGTGTTTTTCCTTCAGAAATTACACTTATGACTCTGCAGTTTGATTTTGTTTTCTCAACAGTAAAGTTTGGGGCTTTATTACTCTCAAATACAAATAGAACCACCTCATTCTGTTTACTCCCTGCATAGTAGAGCATTCCATAGTGTGCCATAGTTAACGAACCACTTTGCGGGGTATTCATTGATTCAGCACATATCTATTAAGCACCTACTATGTGTCAGTCACCACGTGATACCTTAGAAAATAAGGAAAAAGTAACTTCTCCGCTCATGGAGCTGATTTTCAAAAATTTTTTAAAGTTTTATTTTAATTCCAGGTAGTTAACACATAGTGTTATATTAGTTTGTGGCGTACAATACAGTGATTCATAATTCCATACATCACCCAGTGCTCATCATGACAGGTGCACTCCTTAATCCCCATCACCTATTTTACCCACCCACCCCCACCTCCCCTCTAGTAACCATCAGTTCTCTATAGTTAAGGGTCCGTTTCTTGGTTTGAATCTCTCTCATTTTTCTCCCTTTGTTTGTTTATTCTGCTTCTCAAATTCCACAAGTGAAATCATATGGTATTTGTCTTTCTCTGTCTGACTTATTTTGCTTAACATAATACTCTCTGGCTCCATCCATGTCACTGCAAATGGCAAGATTTCATTCTTTTTTATGGCTGACAGTGCATGAGGATTTCTTTTTCTCCACATCCTCACCAATGCCTGTTGTTTCCTGTTTTTTTTTTTTTATCTTAGCCATACTGACTCATCATGTGAGATGATATCTCATTGCAGTTTTATTTCCCTGATGATAAGTGATGATGAGCATCTTTTCATGCGTCTGTTGGCCATCTGGATGTCTTCTTTGGAGAATTGTCTGCTTATGTCTTCTGCCCATTTTTTAATGGGGTTATTTGTTTTTAGGTATTGAGTTTTGTAAGTTCTTTATATATTTTGGATACTAGCCCTTTATCGGATATGTCATCTGCAAATATCTTCTCCCATTCCATAGGTTGTCTTTTAGTTTTGTTGATTGTTTCCTTTGCTGTGCAGAAGCTTTTTATTTTGATGTAGTCCCAATAGTTTGTTTTTCCTTGCCTCGGGAGACATATCTAGAAAAATGTTGCTATGTCCAATGTCAGTCAAATTACTGTGTTCCCTTCTAGGATTTTTATGGAATCAAGGTCTAACATTTAGATCTTTAATCCATTTTGAATTTTTGCGTATGGTGAAAGGAAGTGGTCCAGGTTCATTCTTTTGCATGTTGTTGTTCAGTTTTCACAACACCATTTGTTGACAAGACTGTCTTTTCCCCATTGGATATTCTTCTTGCTTTATCAAAGATTAATTGACCATATAGTTGTGGATTCATTTCTGGGTTTTCTATTCTGTTCTGTTCATCTGTGTGTCTATTTTTGTGCCACTACCATACTGTTTTGATCTCTACAGCTTTGAAATATAACTTGAAGTCCAAAATTGTGATTGTGCCTTCAGCTTTGTTTTTATTTTTCAATATTGCTTTGGTTATTCGGGGTCTTTTGTGGTTCCATACAAATTTTAGAATTTTTTTGTTCTAGTTCCATGAAAAATGCCGGTGGTATTTTGATAGGGATTGCATTAAATATGTACATTGCTTTGGGTAGTATAGGCCTTTTAACAATATTTGTTCTTCCATTCCATGAGCATGGAATGTCTTTCCATTTCTTTGTGTCATCTTCATTTCTTTCATCATTTTAAAATAATTTTTAGAGTGTACTCTGAAAAGACCTGTAGGTCTTTCACCTCTTTGGTTAGGTTTATTCCTAGGTATCTTATTATTTTGGGTGCATTTGTAAATGGGATTGCTTTATTAATTTCTCTTTCTGCTGCTTCATTATTGGTGTATAGAAATGCAACAGATTTCTGTGCATTGATTTTATATCCTGTGACTTTACTGAATTCATTTATAAGTTCTAACAGTTTTTTGGTGGTCTTTCGGGTTTTCTATATACAGTATCATGCCATTTGCAAATAGTGAAAGTTTTACTTCTTCCTTACTGATTTGGATTCCTTTCATTTCTTTTTGTTGTCTTTTATGTTCAATAAAAGTGGTGAGAGTGGACATCCCTGTCTTGTTCCTGTCTTTGGGGGAAAAGCTCATTTTTTCCCCATTAAGGATGATGTTAGGTGTATCTAATGGGGCCTTTATTATGTTGAGGTATAGTTACCTCTAAACCTACTTTGTTGAGGGCTTTTTGGTGGGAATGCAAACGGGTGCAGCCACTGTGAAAAACAGTGTGGAGTTATCTCAAAAAGTTAAAACAGAACTAACTACCTTTCCATCTAGCAACTGCACTACTGGATATTTACTCAAAGAGTACAGAAACACTAATTCAAGAGGATACTTGCACCCTGATGTTTGTAGCAGCATTATCTACAATAACCAAATTATGGAAACAGCCAAAGTCTCCATCGACTAATGAATGAGTGAAGAAGATGTAGGGTGTGTACCTGTGTGTGTGTGTGTGTGTGTGTGTAATGGAATATTACTCAGCCATAAAAAAAGAATGAAATCTTGCCATTTGCAATGACATGGATGGAGCTAGAGAGTATTATGTTAAGCAAAATAAGTCAGACAGAGAAAGACAAATACCATATGATTTCACTCATATGTGGAATTTAAGAAAGAGAGGAAAACAAAGAAACAGACTCTTAACTATAGAGAACAAACTGATGGTTACCAGAGGGGAGGTGAGGGGGGGCGGGAATGGGTGAGAGTTAAGGAGTGCACTTGTGATGAGCACAGGGGTGTTGTATATAAGTGTTGAATTGCTAAAATGTACACCTGAAATTAATATTACACTGTATGTTAACTGCAATTTAAATAAAAACTTAAAAAAATTTAAAAAAGATTGAACCTACTTTGTTGAGGGTTTTTATCATAAATGAATATTGTACTTTGTCAAATGATTTTTCTGCATCTATTGCTATGATCATATGGTTCTTATCCTTTCTCCATTTGATGTGATGTATCACATTGATTGATTTATGAATATTAAACCACCCTTGCAAACCAGGAATAAATCCCACTTGAAGGTGGTGAATGATTTTTTTAATGTACTGGTGAATTCAGTTGGCTAGTATTTTATTGAGATGTATTAAGGTGTATTGGTAACATGGTAGGTCAGAAATCATCTGATTGGGAAGGGGGTATGGAATGACTACCAGAAATGTGAATGGAAGCAGGTAGGGTAACCTGATTTTTTCACCTATGTTCATTAGGGGTATTGGCCTATAGTTCTCTTTTTCACTGGTGTCTTTATCTAGTTTTGGTATCAGAGTAATGCTGGCCATGGAGCTGATATTTAAATAGTAAGGACAGACAATAAGAAAATATATAATCCAGTATAAGAATCCTCTCTTTCCCTACACATCCCACCCTAGCTGCTATTCTATATTTCCTTCAAGATTGAGATATCAGGTTACCCTACCTGCTTCCATTCACATTTCTGGTAGTCATTCCATACCCCCTTCCCAATCAGATGATTTCCGACCTACCATGTTACCAATACATCTTTGCTCACTGCCACTGACCTCCAACGTGAAAATCCTAGGGGATGTTTATCAGTCCTCATCTCATTCTAGTTAAAATCTCTGCAGTCATTGACACTTGGTGACACTCTTCACACCCTTCTTTTATTTCCTTTCAGGCTACTATTCTTTGGTATTCCTTGATGAAGACTGATCAGCCAAACCCTTCCCACCAACTCTAACCCCATATATCCAATTGACTGCTACACTTTTCCACTGGAATATCTTTGATGCACCTCAAATTCAGTGAGGGTATAAATGAACTCATTTTCGGGCACCTGGGTGGCTCAGTTGGTTGAGCGACTGCCTTTGGCTCAGGTCATGATCCTGGAGTCCCTGGATCGAGTCCCGCATTGTGCTCCCTGCTCAGCGGGGAATCTGCTTCTCCCTCTGACCCTCCCCTGTCTCATGTGCTCTCTCTCTCTCATTCTCTCTCTCTCAAATAAATAAATAAAATCGTAAAAAAAAAATAAATGAACTCATTTTCTTTCATATATTTCTTTCTCTTAGTTCTCACTCCCCTATTTGTGCTAACTGGTTTACAGAGGTAGTCTCTGATGAATGATGACTCAGTTTTTACATCTTTGTGTAGTCATTTTTCACACTGAATATGGGCTAGCTTTATTACCAAAGAATAAAGGAGTGATGATGTGCCATTTCTAGGTCTAAGCTTTAGGAAAGCCTGGAAGCTTCCAATTTCACACTGTTGTGAGCCTTGAAGTTCTGCTACCCTATTATAATTAAAACTGGAGAGCCAGAGTAGTGAAGGAGAGGCTCTGAGACTGCACAAAGAGAGAGAGGCCTAGCAGTCTCAACTGAATCTGGATTTCCAACTATGCCCTTCCAATGACCCAGATGTGTACATAAACTCTGGTAGATTTCCATATTGGCCAAGCCCTTGGATGACTGATGACTCAGCCAATATCAAGTGGAGCAGAAGAAACAACCAGCACATAATCTAAGAGGTAATAAAATGGTGGTTATTTGAAGCCACTATTTATGCACCACCTTACCCAATGCCCACCACCAGCACTCACCCATACAACCAAACAATAAAATCATTTTCTCCATTTAGACAGACATCTACTCAGCCCTGGCCATACTGGGGTCTTCTTATCACATTAGGCAGGATACTCTACAGGTTCTTACTTCTACCATGGAGGTTCTTTTTAATGTAGATGGGCCTCTAGCCATTCTTGCCCACACCTAATTCTCCAACACCACACCACATGCAGTGTCGTGGTTCAATTCCATCATCAATCTCTATTATAGGTATGTTTCTTTTTTTACTTAAGTTTTATTATATTACTCCTCTGTCATACATAGGGATTCCACAGATACTTATATAACAAAAATTCCATGTGTGTGGTGCTGGAACCTATAATTGTATGTAGAATATACATTCTCCATATAGAGGCAGTTATTACATTTTGGCCTTTTCCATGGTTTTCATATACTCTGTGTGTCTGTGTGTGTGCCCTTATTTTCCACATTCAAGTGACCTTGGATGGACTGGATCAGTTGTCCAAGTTGCAGTATACAAACTGCTACAGCTACTTTACTACCTACAGGGTTCCAGAGACCCATCCCAGACTCTACCTTTAAGTCTTAGACCCTATATTCTGTGCTCAATTATTCCTGAATTAGTTTTCTATTGCTGCTGTGGTGAACTTCCACAAACTTAATGACTTAAAAAAAACCCACAAATGTATTCTACTACATTTTTGGAGGTCAGAACTCAGAAATACTCTTATTGGGCTAAAAATCAAAGTGTCAGTAGGGACGTGTTCTTTCTGGAGGCTCTAAGAGGCAATCTGTTCCTTTCCCTTTCTCATCTTCCAGGGACCTTATACATTCCTTGGCTCATGGCCCTTTTCTCCATATTCGAAGCCAGTAGTGTAGCATCTTCAATTCTGTCTCTTCTCTGACCTCTGCTTCTGTGGTCTTCTTCTCTGAATCTGACTCTGAGCCTCTTGCCTCCCTCTCAAAAGGACTCATGTGATCACATTCGGCCTACCTGGATAATTCAGGATAATCTCCCCATCTCAAGATCCTTAACTAAACCACACCTGCAGTGTCCCTGTTGTCATGTAAGGAAATATACTTCCTTTTGGGGGTTAGGACATGGATATCTTTGGGAGCCCATTATTTAGCCTACCACAGCCCTCAGTCTTAACCCTCCCACCTCTATGTCCTGACCCTTTAAGCTGATCACTGACAGAATTATTTGGCATCAACACAACATTGCTGTTGAACAGTGCACCTAAGATTCTCCCAATATTCATGCTCTGCAACTAGTAGTAAAATCTCCGAAATCTGTCTAATCCTTCCCAGACTCAGCTTTGGTTTCAGATACCCTAGCCCAGTTACAGTTTCACATGCCTAGAAAGGGAGTTTGGACAGGGTTGGTGGTGGATAAAATAACTAGAATTGGGGTTCATACCCAAGGAAGAGACATTTATGAGAAACACAGGGATGAGTGCACAGATGAGAGTCATCTCACACTGCTTGAGGGAATCAGGGAAAGCTTCAATGGAGAGAAAAATTAGGTTTTGCAAAGTGAAAATGGAATATTGACAGATATTGAAGAAGTGGCAGATAGCAGGAAGGAGTTCTTGGAAGGGGAACAGCATGTGCAAAAATGCAGAGATATAAGAGAGTGCATCAGATTCAGGAATCCTACAGGGTAGTTAATATAGCTGAAGGGAGAAAAAGGATTAGTTTGAAGTGAGATGGGAAATAAGGGAGAGTGGATTGAGAGAGATAGTAAGAAGTAGAAATACTTAATGCATGTTGGGCAATATGCTAATAGATTTATATGCATTTCCTTCATTAAATTTTCATTAGTTAGCCCAAGTGAGCATTTTATAGATATGAAAAAATTGGATGCATTAGGTCCAGACTTGAAATTCCAGCCCAGCTCTGCCTAAAATGAAAGGCTGTCATCTTTTCACAAAGTCAGTGCTGCTTAAAGTGTAGCATGCAATCCATGATTGGTGCCCAATAGGTCATTACTAGTACATGGACAAAATTGTTGTTTGTTGTTTAATACTAATATATGTGTTTATATTTTAAAAATAAGATTTAATCTACATGTAGGCCTTTATGGGGACATGAACAAGAGCATTTCCAGAAAATAACCCAAGGGGGAACCTCTATAAAATCCCCTCTAAACATGACACTGCTCTTTCCAGTGTTCCTCTTGAAGCAACTGTCCAGTCAAAATCCTCCATGCTCTGACACTCCACACCTCCACACAGCATCCCTGAGTCTCTGGAGGCTCTAAGAGGCAATCTAGTGCTAGGGATAGGTTACTTATTCAAGGTCACACAACAATGGTAGTAATAAATTGTCCACTTTAGTTCTACTAGTCTGAAATCCCATGCAATTGTTTTAAC